GAATCAAATACTTTTGTAATTTGTTATTATATTGATTCATAACCATTATCAGTAAGAATTAACATTCTTCTTCTAGAAAACAAAAAATATAGGAATTACCTGCTTAATATCAATCTGTTCCTGAGCAGTATACCTGAAAATCAGATATACTGCAAAATTTTAATCACAAGTTTTTTACATTATTCTAAATAGAAAAAATTATAATGCATTGAAAATTGCATCCAAAACCCCTCAACCAATTTCCAAAAACCTCACCAAAACACAAAAAACTATAACTAACAAACTCATACTAGGAGGTAAAATACTTAAAATACAACTTCCTGATCATGAAACAATTAATGTCAGTATTTCATACAATGCAATTGTTCTTTTGATATGCACAATCTACATTATATTTATGATAGGGCACAGCAAACAACACACAGTAATAGAGATTTGTAAGAAAAAAAAACAGACAAAACTTTATAATAAAAAAAAGGAATAACATTGCAACATTTTTAAAAAATGATACCTGTAAATTATAGAATTTATTGTGTACTATTAGTGATGTCACAAAATCATGTTTATGGTTTGATAAAAGACCTGTTGGTATGATATGACACATGATATCTCTCAGTGCCAATTATATTTAAGAAACACATTCTCTTTGTTGAATATTCTGACAACTATTTATGTTTAATTAATGCAAAATTTGGTTTGAGAGAGCTCTGATTTCTGTTTTATCTTCTGTTTATAGTCTGCTCTGATAGTGTCAAATGTACAGACTTCTGACAGGTTTATATTAAGTGCAGAAGTATTGTGCATATTCTTGTCTAAGAAGATAACATCATTTTTTGACACTATGGGTACTTCAAAACATACTATGACCAATAATTATATTCAGAATACAACTCAAGACACTCTGTTTTGTAACCACATTGTTTTGTTAAAGATGTATTAAATTTTTGTGATGCAAAAGATAAGATATGAAAACTATCAGTAAATAAAATTACTTTACTAGAGTACTAATTAAAAACTTTCCAAACGTTTATGTATTTCTTATCATTCCCAGAGAGTTAGAATCAAAAACCTAATTTATACTTGAGAAAAAGAGCTCAATTTTAACATTATAAGTTAATCATTCAATTTCAAAACATTTCATTAATAAATGGAATGTTTATAATATCTTCTAATGTTTGAATTATATTTTTTAAATTTTAACTGTTTGAGGATTTTTTAACTAATATTTCAATAAATCTTATTGGTTTTGATACAGATATTTATAGAGATCAATGTCACATGAGATTTTACAGTTCAAAATACTAAAAATAATCTAAAGTTTCAAATGTTATGAAAAAGTATATTGGACTGCAATTTTAAAAAACTGTAGACCTATAAATTCTCACTGTTGTCCCTCTGTCTCTTTCCTTAATCTTGAGAACAGAGTTAAATAGACAAAAGACAAGACCAAATATGGAAACCTCGGGCAGGAGGACTCGATTAACTATATACAAACATCCGATACAAACCAGAAGTCATGTTAATTTAATTGCCTTATGTCCTTAAATCATACTTAATTCTAAAAATTGTCAACTTGGACTTATTGGATTATTAGGACTATTACATAATATAATTAAATACAAAAAATCTGTAAGTTTTTAATGTTTTATTGTTAGATTTTTAAATTATTGTAATTTATTAAAAGTTTCGTTATGTACATTTTTAGAAAATCGTTTGCTTATTTGCCAAAACACATATATTATGTGTACAGGAAATACTACAGGTGAAAAAATAAAGATTTTTCATTTTTCTGATTAAGAACTCCTCCTTTTGCAAATAGACAGTACACCAGTGTAATAGTCCTAATACTCCAATAAGTCCAAGTTGACAATTTTTAGAATAAAGCAGAAATCATGTTATTTCAATTCAAAAATTTTCTCCAAAAGGTGTTAGCTAGATGACCAACACAACTCTATTGTTAAAAAGGGAAAAGTGTGATGTACAGGGACATGCCACTACTAATTTGAGGTGGAGAGCATATATTTTAAATTAAATAAATTAAAAACTTCAGCCCGGCATTGTGATGATGTCACAATAAATAATTGCTCATTTATCTTTGGAATTTGTTCTGAGTTATACTGTAATCCAAATTTATAATTAGATCTATCCTAATCTGATAATTTTTCAATGTAATTATTTGGTAATTTAATCCAAGTTGTTTATACAATAAAAAGTTGATTATCTGAAACAGTTTCAAAAAATAAAATAAATAAATAAAAACAGAACATGTAGCATTGTACACATCACAGAGTATAATACACAGAGACCAAACTCTCCATATAACTGAAAATCACTATGTCATATGATTGTGGTGCTGTAAAATTAGGCCATGTATGTAAAATTACATTAGATTTTGAGTAAATTAAATTACTTTCAAATACAGTATTTGCATTACAGTATTTATAGTTCACGAAACTTTAAATGTACAGTGCTTGATATACTCAAAACACAAAAACAAGTTTCTGGATTATTCAAGATTTTTTTTATCTGAATGTTTTAAATAATATTGCAGGATTAACTTTTGGAGTAGAATTTGGTTAATTATGTTAATTAATGACTACTAAAGTTATATCTAAATTAATAAATTAATTGGTCTGGTTGCAAAGATCAGAAGTCTGGGCATCCATAACTGAAAATGCATCTGCATAGTAGGGAGTTATTATAGGTTCAAGTCCCATTCCAGACTGATCTTTTCTCCAGAATACTCTAAATTAAATTTAAAACAAGATGGTTTAATAATCTATCTAGAGCCAAATTGTTTAATATCTTATTAGACTTAGAGTAGCTTGATAAGAATCTGGTTATTTATTTGATTAGTAAAGTTTCAGGTTTTTTGTATGTTATTCCAATCAATAAATGTTAAATCAATTTTAATTACTGATTAAAATTGTTAATGTGTCTCCACTGCTAGTTTATTGATTATATTTATATATATAATCAATAAACTAGCAGTGGAGACTTAAAACCACAATGAGAAAAGTAGTTTTAAATTGTGCTACAGCTTATTTTTCTTCAACTACCAGTGACATATTGTATTGCTTGTAAAAAAGTAACCTTGGAACTATTTTCATCTGCTTTTGTAGATGATATCAAGATATTTTCTTCAATTGCTTCAAGGATTATTTTATCAGCCTTCTGCAATACAATGTTTTCAAATTTTTTTATGACTCCCATATTCATTGGTTGTACCAAGGATGTGGTATTAGCTGGAAGAAACTCCAGATGAATGTTTTTTTTAACACTCTACATGAGGATGAGCAGCAGAATAGTCCAAGAGTAACAGAACTGTTTACACGAATTATAAAGTCCCAAGGATTAATTTACTTTCAAATAATAATGACCATACAAATAATTTTGGGTCAGTTTAAAGTCTTTATCCTTTTTTAAGATTCCAACCACATGTGTCATTGACATTGGATCCTCAAAGAAAAGGTTGGCATCAAATGTATAGTATATTTGTGTTTTTTTAATATCATATCATTGGTTTTTAACTAAGAACTGTTTGTATCTTCATGTTGTGAACCATCTGTATCTGGTTGGAATCTTAAAAAAGGATAAAGACTTTAAATTGACCCAAAATTATTTGTATGGTCATTTTTATTTGAGACAGAACTGTTCTTGACTTTGTCTACAGTTTTGCATTCCAATTCATAAGCCATTTCAGAAATTCAGTCATCCATGCATTCTTGTTGGCATATTACTCAACTGGTAAACAGTCCATTCTAAGATCTTTAAAGTACTGAGGCTTAGCATACATTTCAATGACTAATATCTTCCATTCCTAATTTAATGCAGCGGCACAATACAGTAACACGATCCATTGCTTTTTTTGAACCCAACAGGTCTTCATGTTTATAACTCAGGGAACTGTTTTTTCTGCATTGCAGATTTGATCAGGACTAATTTCTGCAGCAATTCAGGTAAATTAGTTTATTTTCACTCTTCAGCACTCAGTGCCAGCGTTGTCTTTTCATCACGTGCTCCTTTAAATTTTATTTTATGTCTGGGTTTCCATTGTGATAATCACCCATCCATAACATTGAAATTCATGCAATCCATCTTTGTAGCTAACTCTTCTGATTTTGTTTTTGGCCCAATAACACATACTCCTCTTTGCTGCATGTGCCGTCCAGATAAAGTAGCACGATGTCCCAAATAAGCAAAGTAAATTTGTCTTATGCCTTTTGTCTGTCTTTCAATATACATCCAATAAAAATCAGTCCCAATTAACCAGAATGTACTGTATTTACTTTGTTTGTTTATAGTATTTAAATAAAAATGTGACTTTTTCCCGGTCAACCTCGAAACAGCACCAACAAAAAGATGACATACGTAACAAAGCAGCATACGCTTATAACAAAAATTTTATGAGAAACAGGATTAACATACGAATTCCAAATAAAATTCAAGTGGCTAGTAAACATCTGATATCATAATGCCGCTTTAAATGCAACTTTAAAAAATGCTTAGTACGACATTCATCGTCAACAAGTACGTGCTTTTGACAATACTGTACCGTGAATATTAATCGGTATCTCGACATCCTTAAAGAACAATTTCTTCTGTTTTGCCAAGAAATGAGTGTTGTTTGAAGAGACATTATTCCAATGAGAATAGAATTCTTCAGCAAATTCTAACTATTAATCAACCTTTGTGAAATTACATCATTATATAATATTGCAATTCTATACACTCAAAAACTTCATTATTGATAAACGTAGTTAAAGTCCACACTTTTAATCAATTCTTTTTTCCTGTGATGTTAACGACGCAAATGTACGGGCGCGATACAGTTTATACAAAATTTCACGTATAATAAAATATCTAAAAATAAATAAAGAATTTGTGTAGCATAACTGTGACTTGTCACAGTTATGCTACACAAATTAACCAACACATTAAATATAGTTGATTTCATAATAATAATATACAATTTAACTACTCCAATAGATTTTACATACCTCGAACTTAAGATTTCTCCAATTTGTTGAAGCTGTATCAGGAAAAGGTAAATTATAAACGGTTGGTTTAGGTTTGAACTTAATAGTCAATTCACCGACATTATTTTCTTCGCGACGGCTATCTTTTTCGATAATATCAGCAGAAATCTTCATCTTTACGGACTTTTTATCATTCAAACATTAAAATAATTTCCAGCATTTAATTAAAATATAACAAATATAAACGTTATATCACTACTGCTTTGAAACTTCGTAAAACAAACAGGCGCATTACAGTTTCGTTGATTTCTTCCGCATTCAAAATGTAGTTCCGTATTTTTTGGTAATTTTAAACTTTTTAAAGACTCGTGATGTTATCGTTACGTAGCGGTTAATTAATTTATCATATCTATATTAAACTGTTAAATTTATCAAATGAAAATATATCATGTGATGATTGTTATTGCGTGATCACATGCGACTGTTTACATCTTAGCTAATTACGTCATCCCTGTCATATTCTATGATGTCATGTAATTATAATTTTAAATGCCGGATCTTTAAACTTTTATATGTTTTAAATTATATAAAAATATTATATTTCGTTTAGTTTATTCGTATATTAAAATAATCTTTTTAAAATTTAAGTATTATTAGATCAGAAAAAATAAAAATTGTTTTTCCACGTGCCGGATGTGTGGGTACTCGTATTGATCCTAACCTGTAAAATATTTTTTGATTACATAAATTATGCAGCGTATGACAATGCTGTTATAATCTTAAATGTCACGTGTAGATGATACAGTATATACGGTATATATATTACAGTAATTCCATGTAATGCTATTGAATATTGTGAAATGTACAGAGTATTTAGAAGTTTAAACCAATGATTTCTTAATCGTGATGAAATCGTAATACTGTATACAATATTTATAGAGTTCAAAATTACGTTTATTTAAAATTAATTTAAAAAAAAAAACAATTTTACACTTATAAATTGTTTTATTCTTAAAACTATATTCAAATAAATTTTGACATTTGTTTTATAACATAGTAATGTTTTACGAACTAAAAGAGATCAGCATCATTGGAAGTCATTATTTATTATTTGTGAAAGTCTGTCCAAAACCTCACACATATAATACCAGTAAGTTATAAATTACTGTATATAGGCCTATAATTTACATAACTGAACAATGAGAGTTTTTCTAAATAATCAAATTAACATACACAACACATCAAAGTTGGACTAATGACTAAGTAATAAAATCTCCTACAGCTGTGAGAGATATAATACGATTTAGATCATCGTAATTTTTTACAGATAATTCTTATCAATGTATTAAACGGCGCTCTTTATTTCTGCATTTAGCCAACATCATTTAAAATAGACAAAATTGCCTATAACTGAAATAACTAACAATATAGTCAAATGATACATCACAGAAAACTCCAATCTTATTAACATTTTTTTGCTTTTTCCGCCCTATGGGCACTAAGAGGACTTTTATCAGGCATACTGTGAGATCGGTAAGGCTCACAATGGGGTGGGACAGCCGGATGATGAGAAATGGGTCCCGACAAATCTGGAATAGATCATTCCACGAAAATTCTCGGAAATTTTTCGACCGCTAGATTTGATCCCTGATCTCCCAGAACGGCAGGCTCGACAATTTAACTGCTTCAACCATCCGCCATATACGTAATATAAAAAATATTTTGTACATTAATATAGTAATTAATTGTTTGCTGAACTATTGTCCTTTATAATGTAGAATATAGTTAGAATAAGTAGAAAGTATACTCAAAATGTTCATATTTTATCTTGTATAATTAATTAAAAAGTTGGCGATTGTGTACAGATTATACTTTAGTGACAATGTTGCTTTACTTGTAAATTCTTGCGTTGTTTCGTTTTATAAAAACTTCACAGAATGCAATGATAACATATCAAAATTAAAAATAAAAAAGATAATTTACGTCATATAAATGATATTCGTGACGGCTTATTACTGTATTTTAAATACAGAATTTAAAAGATTTCGTCTAATTAGAAAAATTACTTGATGAAGTCTTGTCTTTTTTGTAAGAACATTTAATTTAACAAGTTTTACAAAGGATTATTTTTTCTAATTTATTGAGAAAAATTTGTTTATAAATACTAAGATAAAAATTTATCATTTAATATTTAATAAACATGTATATGATATGATAAATTATCTAACAAAATATATTAATTATAAATCTAGCAAGAAATTAGATCTAACAAAACTGCTTCCTCTCTATTATAACTAAAAGAAACGTTATAAACGATTTATGTTTATAATAGTTCTTGATCTGTAATAAGGTGAAAGCATAAATACAATTCCATATGTACTGTACCATATTATCAAAATTATTCAGGCATCCCATCTGATTAATGGTTGTGCCTAAATTGGTATGATTTAGTTAGGTATAAAACGCAACCATTATCATAAAATATGCATGGGAAAGCAGTACGTTAGAATAGAATACATATACAGGCTCAATGACTTCGTAAGTGGTATCATCATAGAATGATGCCACGTACATCTTTGCAAAAAAATCGGTCCTTGAAATGTTATCCCTTTACAATCAGTTGCAAATGATATAATTATTAAATAAAAACGTTTTGGAACAGCAAACAGCTGTCTCTAGATGGTAGGTCACGTAGACTCGCAAAAAATAATAATAATAACTAGCTAAACTACGTTGGAAGTATTGTCCTTGTAAATAGCAAATTTCTAGATAATTTATTACAATAATTTGGTTTATTTGGTTACGGCAACGCAACATATGGGCGATCTGCCGAAGGTGATGCTTCTCGAGAGGAATTTTATGGGAAACTGGGCCCTATTTAGGTGTTACTACAGTGGTGTCCATGGAAGCTGTGGAAGCACCGCTTTCCTTGTATTTCCTAAAATATAAATACACATTGTGAGATTATTTTACGTACTTTGAATTAATTAAAATCAATAACCGCATTATGTATTTTATTTCTATGCTACACGAGCAAAAATGACAAGATTACCATTGTATATACGAATATAAATTCATATGTGCATATTCCCAATGGAAGCGCCGTATCGTCGAATATAGGATAACTTCCACGGCGAAAATATTGGAATCGTGTAAAGCAGGCAGATTAGATTTGTGCTCTATAAAGCGCATTTGCGCATGCGTTTTATAGAGCACCAACTTGACTCGGTTTAGCTGGTGAATGCTACACACCAAAACATCGTATAACGTTTCCAATGATTCTATCCAGGGTCGGCACAGCTTCCCTATCATCAAATGTCGCTGCACGCCACCGCTAACTTGAAGAAAACCCAGAAAACTGCACGTGACCAGCTTGTTGGGCAACGTGCTAACACACGACGAACTACCAGGCATTGCCTATGGACAGCAGATTCAGAAGAGAGGCAAAAATTGAAAATTAAAATATAGATATAGCCTACTACATATATGGTATAGTCCAGGCATGGCCAACATACGGCCGCGGGCCGGATCTGGCCCGTGCAATGGATTTATGTGGCCTGCGATCAATCTTTCAATATTAGGTACGGAAGTCCGAATAGCTCGATGAAAAATTCTGACGCCTAAAAACGAAAAAGGTCAACAGCTCACTGTTCGTTTAGAGTTAACCCACCATTACAAATCTCGTAAGTACAGCGTAGAACGTTGATAAAGCATGATAATGTGAAAAATGTATCTGTAATCTCTATGTACAATTTAGTCTGTACGGGGTGGCATCACAATGAGATCTCGTACCACCTCAAAATCTTCCTAAGCAGCCTCTGGTTCGGCCCGTGAAAAAAGTTTTTCCAATTCGGCCCGGGGGTAAAAACTGTTGGCCAACCCTAGTATAGTCAGTGCCGTAACTAGCTATTCCTGTTCACTGTGTAAAGATTTGCATTTAGGCCCCTTAATTAATTAGGTCTTGGGAAAATAATAAAACAAATACATGTATTTTGAGCTCGCCTTCCAAGTGGAACCTGTGCGGGTTTTTTTTAAACTCTTTCCGCCCTTTGAGCACTAAGCGGGCCTCTTTTATCAGACCCATTATAGGTTTAGCCAGAACCACAGGTTTGGAGACAGGTAGTGAGGGACGGGGCCCGATTTATCCAGACGACCACTCCCCGAAAAATTCCTGGGGATTTGATCCCAGGTCCCCCAGAGTGGTAGGAACCTTAACCGCTCGGCCATCCGGCGTCGTACTTCGATACTAAAGTATTGATACAATAATATATACATCTATGTTTCTTTATGTGTGTAACGTTATTACACATTTATTCTAAATTGTGTAAATTTGATTGGGACGGCAAAGTAGCTTTCGCTTAATAATAATAATGTGAAAGGTCTGGCTTACAATGAAATCAACTAGAAAGTATTAAAAGAGATGCTCTACGCGAACTCTTCATAAAAATTTTCGAGAAGCATGTAGGAATTGAATTCGTCCCTTTATGATAATAAAAGAGTTGCCGTAAGAATATCTATCGATGAGTTCTAGAAAAATGTTTTAGAAATTACAAAAGTAGTCGTGTTAAAATGTTTATTTGATATTATAACTTAGTAGAGACAATACATATTTTTATTTCTCATAAAATTATTCTAATTTAAATATAAGAATTTTAAAGAATATCCTGAAGCAAGTATTTTTTTAAACGTAATTTGATTATGCAACAATTTCACTGTTAAAATGTTCGCTGAGTCTTGTCTTTTCTTCAGAGATAAGCAAAAGTAAGTGGAGTGCCAACAACTAAAATAATTAGAACAATTAACAAAAGAGAGAGGACGAAAAAATTAGAAAACAGTTATGGATATAAATGGCCTGAGATATTAATCTAAATATATAAAATTGCTTGTCCTGACTGACTCATTCATTCATTCACTGATTCATCATCGCCCAGAGCAAACCGCTTAACCTAAAGAGGTGAAATTTGGTACACAGTTAGGGTACGTCATGGAAACGCACACTAAGAAAGGATTTTTCGAAATTCCAACNTAGAACGATTGTAAACGTTTCAGAAAATTGATCAAATTGAAAATAGTTCGTTTGATTTTCGGCAATTCTCTTCAGCGGTAGGTGTTATATAACAATTACTATGGTTATTGAAATATTGGATGTAAATGGGGTTTGCTTGCAAAACCTCCGCTGACGAAGTCGCGGGTAACAGCTAGTGATATAATATGAATAAAATATACGTTATTTAAATATCTTACAATTACGTCTACTCAAATGATTAAAATTTTGCAGATACTTGCCCAAACAAAGAGACGATAAAAGTATGTTAGGCCATTTGTAATAATATATGTTACTTACTATGATAATTATAATGATGAACCAAATCACTTGAAAGTAGATGTAAATATGTTTCAAATGAATTGCGACTTTAATTTTTCCATTCGGACAAATACGTCTCAAATGACATCCGTGGATCAAATATTTTGTCAGTCTTGACATTTTTCCAGATCTAATTCAATTTCTTGTCCCAATACAAGTTTAAGCAGATCAAAACCTTTTCTTATCACTTGCTTTGTTCCGTTCAGATGTTCCGACATTTATTCCTTTAATTTTTTCTGTGCTTCTGTAATAATATATGTTACTGCAAGTTCAAAAGTAATCTTTTTCGCTGCTTCGGAGCAAAAATATTCAACAACTTTTATCTTGCACATAACTGGAAGTCGAAGCTGTATATTTTTATACCAAGGCTCCTCTGCCATTCAGTCGGGTTTTTTTATACTACAATATCCTCAGAATCACAGATAATTCTTGGAAGCAGAGATTTTAGTTTCTGTTTAATAAAATATTTACGTGCTCTTCATTATTTTAATGGCTTGCAAGATTTGCTTAGAAGTCATAAATTGGTATAGCTTCTTATAAATGCAAATGTCTTTGATGTATTTAAATGCTCTATAAATTAAAATGCATTAAAATATGTATCAAGCAAAATAAAGGTAATTTATTTATGTAAATAACGGAAATCATGATAAATAAGAAAATTATGCAACAGACGGTCAACACTTTATTCATATTTCTGAAACTGAGCAAGATGAAATTTATTAGACTGACTGTGAGTATAGAAACATTTTGTAATAATGATTGTAAAATCTTACTTTGGCTTCTTTTGGATTTGAACAGGATTGCTAATAATTCTTTTTCATTGTTAAAGAATTCAATAAATCTATCTATGTATATATGTATATATATATGTATGTAAATGTGGATGTTTGTTTGTTTGTTCGCTATACACTCTTAGGCCGTTTGACCAATTGGTACGAAACTCGGTTGTTACGTTTAAATACTTCTAACTTAGATCATGCCGTACATTCCACTACAAAATATCAATTGTATTTCTATAAATCAATTAATTTTTATTTACATTCAATTTTTCTGAGTTACACGTAGCGCCATCTATTGGCAGAAAAGTTAACAAAATAATTAAATAAATATAATTCTTACAAAAAAGAATATAATTTAAAAATATATACAGTATATATTATATTCACCGAATTACTGCGACAATGATATAGCGCAAAATGGCGCCATTATGCCATTACTCCGACAGGTAGCACATTGCACTTGCCTGCGTGGAGTGTAGTAGTGTTTTACCCCTGTACATCATACTTTTCCTGTTAGCAATAGAGTCGTGCCAGTTATGTATCTAACTACGTTCAGAAGAAAATTTTCTTATTGAAATAACGTGACTTGCGGTACAAATCGGAAGTTCATATATAGATAATCTGATCCTTTTCTCTTACGATTTCCATGTCTGGTCTCGACTATCATCTATCTAACTCCGTTCCCAAGATTAAGGAAGGTCAGAGACGGACGGACGACTGAGAATTTATAGCTCTACAGTTTTTTCAAATTGCAGCCCAATAAGTATACCCAGTAACCGAGTGGATAAAACCACCGAACATCGTTAGTCGGTCGTGGGTTCGCGCGTGGCCAACGGACTGGCCACGTGGAGTTTTCTGGGTTTTCTTCGGAATGCATCCTTTTTGGCAGATCACTCACGTGTCACGTTTCCGTAACCAAATAAACCAAACTAATTCTAACGAGCGCTTATTTATTGTGACATCGTCATAATGCCGGGTTGCAACTTTTCGTCACAATGTTCTCAATGTGATGATTTTTGCCCCTGTACATCATACTTTTCCTGTTAGCAATAAAGTCGTGTCGGTCATATATCTAACTCCGTTTGGAGAAAAATTTTGAAACAAAGTAAAAATTACTTCCGTTCTAACCGGAAGTTCGTATACAGTATAGTTAATTTGGGACTCCTGCCTCGTTTAGCTTTCCACATCTGGTCTCGACTTTCATCTATGAACTCCTTTCTCGAGATTAAGGAAGGACAGATAGATAGATGACGACAGTGGGAATTTATAGGTCTACAATTTTTTCAAATTGCAGCCCGGTAATTTTCCATAAACACAATATTTACGAGAACATACTTCCCACGTAGTTTATGCAATCTGTTGCCAAAATTTTAAAAAATTTATCATCACATAAAAGCAATTATTCTAGCATTTTTACAAGATCTTTTTTAGTTAAACAAGTCATACGAAGTCTTTCGGACGTTAATGTTAGCAACTTCGATCACATGCAGGGCCATCTCAAGCCATCTAACACGAATTACTTTTAAATATTAATAGTAGGCCAGTACTAAGTAGTAGTCGTTGACCACCCTCTCTTCCGGGAGGGTGATAATTATTACTTTTGGTTGAATTAACTTCAACCTTCATCTGCAACAGTCTCTACTTCCTATCGCACTCACCGGTATGGTGGCATTCGAATAGGAAAATTACATAATACAAGGTTACCAGCCTGCACAAAATATGATTTAAGTGGTTTTCGAGGGTGCCGAGTTTAAATGTTTGGTCCGTTTTCGCGAAATTAGATTGGTTGGCAGATTACCATTTGATATTCCGCTGTGAATGGAATAGTTTCTTAGAGTTAACATTAAAATTCTTTATTCCTCTACTATACACAATTTATAGAATTTTTAAATTGTGTTAGATTGGTCACTCGGTGTGATAAACCTTTACGTAAAATAACCTTCGTAGTTATATAAATTAAATACTATAATATAATATAATATAAGGATTAGAAGTACGAAATAATCTAATAATCGTAACTTTTGTTGCTGTTATTTTTTGCCCGGGCAGCGTCGAAGCTCATTTGCCAGTTGTTTTTAAATAATAAGTAAAAACCAAATTTTATTCATTTCTGATTGTTGTGTATTTTCATTTTAAACTTAAATAAATTTAGAAAATAAAGCACAGCCTCTCTATATATTTTACCCTATTATTTCAATAGTTTATGTTTAAACATATTCTTTACCTAACATTAGAGGGAGCTCTAAAATTTGCGAGGTCCTAGGCAAAATTTATTTTTAGACCCACTAAAAGAGTAATGAAATAGAGGGTAGACTTATTTAGATCCACAATAATATGAGCATTTTAAATACATAAATGGATAATAAAACACATAATAAAGTAATAAAAATGTGTACGATAGTTTTACAAGAATTAAAAAATTCAATAGATATGGGTATACAGAAATTCACTTATTAAACTCTTGATTTTAGCAACACTGAATTAATCAGTCACAAAAAATAAATACAGTTCTAGAGTAATAGGCTATCTCTTTCAATGGACAAAATCGAAAATGAAGACAGTCTCTCTTGACACGTTGAGGTTTCGATTGTTTGCGACACGTGTGCGATACCTCCTGGAAAGATTTTTTATAGGAAACTGGTGCCTATTTAGATATTACAAACATGAGGAAAATCCGGAAAATTCCACGTGTCTAACCCACACTGGTGAGGCGCAAACCCGCGACCAACTACCCAATGTTCAGGATCTCATCCACTCTGCCATTGACGGGCTTACTGTTTTGAGATAGTACTTGAGTTCAGTTTTTTGAAAATGATCGTTCTGCATATACCGGTACAATTTTATTTTCAATAATTACCAAGTTGAATAATATTAAAATATACTACGAAATTTGCAAAGCCACTGAAAGCGTGAAGCTCTAGTCGTCACCTTTATCGCCGAGATGTAGAACCACTGCTATCTAACATAGACTACGTGATATATAGATTTTTTCGCTCAAAAAACATTTTCGGTCTTTGATCCTAACATATATATATAACAACCGGGAAAGTAAAAGCAGTCTTAAACAATATTTTTTTTAGTAAAATCAACATAGAAAGTAGGAACCATTACAGACTTCATAAGTTCAAACTAGATCCGGGAAAAATCCTCAGCTTCCACTCTCGATGGCCCTGAAAATTAGAATAACACTAAAGGCGATTTAATTGCATAGGCTTTCTCTAGCTGTCGTTTAACACACAATGAATCTTCTTAATAGAATTGTGTCATCGATAGATGGATGAATAACGATATCATACAATAGTTACGGTGCATCGGAAATGAGCTTTAATGTTTTTGTATGTTTTAAACGATTTATACACATTCATAAAAATATTAAATATAAAATATACCAAAAGAGAACCTAGGAGTTAAAAGGATGTAACAGTTAGGGAAAAAAAATAAACAATATATAAAATTTTTCTACTCATTTCGAACAATGCAGATTCCTGAAAGGATATGGATAATGGATGGAAAGGATATGGATACGGAGAGTATGGATAAGAATATGAAACATTGTAATTCATGGATCGGCAAGCAAGAAAATGATGTCCTATCTTCTTTTGAAAAAGATTATTATTTTTCTTCAAATTTTAACTATAAATAAATTGTTTATTTTGATTTATCGACAATTAATTTTGAAGTATAATAATGCTGTAAAATTCACACATTTAAACGTAATAATCAATTATTGATTTTTAATTATTTAGAGCCATAATGAAAATAGTTTCATGAAAATATACAGAATCTTATGTAGTCTATCATATATTTTCACGATAAGATTCTAATACCGTAAATTATAACAATTATACGTTATAAATTCTAAAAAGATTGTTGATGTAGCAATAAAAATTTTTACTGTTTTAGAAGATGAAGAAAATCATAGTCTTCTGTTATCTGATTGCAATTCTGTTAATTATTTTCACAGTTGATTTAGGTAAGAAAATTTAAAATGTATAACAAAATATTAAATATTTAGCGATTTCAAATATCATTTTCATTTCTAGAAAGTTTTCGGAAATGTCTCATAAATACACGCGGTTACAAATATTTAAATAAAGTCGTGAACTGTAGAAATCTTGCGCAAAAAATCAAAATAAGAACTAAATTTTATGCAAAATACATAATTAAGAAAGTTAAATGTTTACTTCCTAACATTGTGTGTACTCCAAAGGGTTTGAAGGTGACCAGACCTAGTTGGCTTACAGGTGACCCTTGGTATAAAAAAATATTTAATTTTAATTCTATGTGCGCAACGTCAGTGGTGGAATGCTTCTGTCCAAAAATGAAAAATAAACATTTCTTAGAAATTACAAAAGAAATTATCTTGGAAATATGGAAAAACAAAATGGCACCTTTTATAAATGGAACACAAAATGCTTTCCGAAGTCTCTTCAATCAATTCAAACTTATGTTAGGATTTGAAATTGAATTGGATGTAGATAAATATGAAAACAATGTAAAGCTCTTAATGGACAGTTGTCATGTGAGGCGAGATTGCCGGAACGAAAACATCAAAGTTGCTGTATTTTTGAAAGACAGATATTTATTCTATCTTAAATTTTCTACTTTTCTATTTATATTTGTTTTAGTAAGCATAATATTATATATATAACATATCCTTATATATAAATATAATGTTAATTAATGACAATTTAATTCGAATTTAGCTAGTGATATTACATATTCTTCTGATGGCTCCTGAAGATATTGCAGAAAAAGATGATGAGAGCATTTATTATTCCTGTCTTTCTACAGAATTTAAAAATTAATAAATGCATTTTAGTTTATTTCATCAAAATTTAAACGTGTGATATAATAAATAAATAGTTTTTTTTTTTTTACATTATACTTCTGTTAGTATCTTTGTGTTAATTTAATTAAATGTATTGAAAAATATTTACCGGTGATAAGACAATTCAATATTTTAATTGTCTTATTTCCGGTTTGTTTCTTGATTTTAATGTATAAATTAAGAAATAGTTTGGTTTGATGGGACCCAGCAACGCAACACGTGGGTGATCTGCCAAGGAGGATGCCTCCCGGAGGACTTTCTATGAGAAACTGACCCCAATTTAGGTGTTGCAAGTGAAGAAAACCCGGAAATTCCACGTGGAAGCTCACTGTTGTGGTATAAACCCGCGACTGACTACCAGTATTGAGTAGTTTTAGCCACTCGGACACTGATGGGCATAAATTAAGAAATACAGTACTCAACATTAATTTTATAAATATAACATTTAACATATCTTACCGTTTTAAAAGTATTGAACATTGTCTTCATTCCATATATAGGCTTATTATATATATTGACGGGAACGTTCATATGCAGTTCAATTGTAAAAAGTTTAGATGAAAATCCTATTTTTTTAGCACTGATCATTATTAAAAATAAAAATTTGTTTAAGAAACAAACTTTTTAAACACCTTTACCCTAAGACCTTCACTATGCTATTATGCAATTTTAATATCCCGCAGCTATAAAACAATGAAATGTAATTATTATAACTGATTTAATATTGAGAATATATTATTTTTAATTTTCTGAAATTATTATATTTTGAGATTTTTGAATAAATTTACATAAAGTAAGAAAATTAATTGAAATTCTATTTTTATCCGACAGATGGCGCCATCTCATTAAATTTGAATTAAGACATTTATAAACTTATATGCTTTAATTGTTTTTCATTTAATAAAATTCAGAATTAGTTTAAATTTAATAATATAATTTTACTAATGTTTAATTTTTAATTTATTTTATTATTTTACTGAATCGCGATGGCTCTCTTTTTATACAAATGATATATAAATTAGAATTCAATTTACCTCTTACAAAATTGAAGTTACGAAATAATTAATTATCTAATTAAAGTATATAAATCTGCCCTTTCTGGACAATAATTAAATTGCTTTATATTAATTTTATTTATGTATTGCAATTTTAATTAATTATAAAATATGCAATAAATATCTCGAGATATATGATAAAATGAATGCATAGTTTAATAGCATTTATTAATAATGCCATAAATATTATATTAATATTAATACAATTTTTAAATAAACTGATATAATTTAATTATGATATTTATGCTATAAGCCTATGATATAAAAATTTCAGTTTAAAATATAAATGTCGTTAATTCGACTTTTAAAAATTTAAAATTGACCAATCAGCGTGAAGTTATTTAAAATTAGACAAAGCTAGATTTTTTTTTCAAATATAAAAATCTTGTTATTTTATTATCGTGGCTGTTTACAATATAAGGCTTTCGTATTTAATTTTCTCACAGTTAAAAACGGATATCTTCACTGATATAGATTATTCAATTATTGGAATGAGCTGCTATGAGGCTATGTTGTGGGAAAGGTTGACATAATAACAGGGTATGACATCACGTTCGCCTTCAGGACAAAGACTCAAAAATGTGTAATATCGACGTAAAGTTTCAATATAATTTCAGGTCCTAGCAGACGAATAAGAAGAAAAAAATCATTGATAGAACACGTCACACTATTTTATATCCAAAATATCACATCTGTCTCGATACTTCTCGCCTGGAAATCGTGAGAAAGAGGTAACAAATTATAAAAAGAAAAAATGTCATTTTTTAAAGCACAACTTCCTCTATTATGGATAATTTTATCGTGTTGTTATTTCTAGTTTCTTAAGATTTTTATTACTTTTATTACCTACAATTATTTGAAGAAATAGACGGAGTCTAAATTTAAATTGGCAAAAAGATATTATTTACGTTCCAAGGATATTAAGCTCATATTTTTAAAAAAATACTTTATAGGCCATTTCAATGTGATAATTATTTATTATGTCTTTATAAAAATTATTTTACGGTAAAATTCTTTCAGTTGATAATCAGATGATAAATATACTGTACTTACTTATTTAAATTATTATATATATGTATTAATGATTATATTTTAGAATAAAACTAATTTAAAATATTTTAACATAAATTTACTGTGATACTTTTATGTAAGTTAAGCGTATATACAGTAGCCTATTTTAATTCTAAGTTTAGTAATTCCTAAAATAAAATATATATCCCAGACCATTTAATATAATCATAATGTATGGTCCATGTAGATCTCTTCTTAGCTTTATACGCAAAATGTTATCTTATAATGATTATTTTACAGGATGATTAATATGGCTATAAATATCAAAGAAACTGTTAGAGCAAACATTAACTTTTTTTTTTAATTTTTTACAATAGCTTAAAAATTAGTTTAATTATTTAAAAAAACATTAATGTGAATGTAAATTAAATTTAAATTTGAACAAATGTATTTGATATTTATTATTTTAAAATATAAAATTATTAAAAATTCAAAAAAATTTCATGTTTTTATATAAAAGAAACCCATTTAAAAAAATTATTCCAATATTTTATAGTAATTTGTTTAATAAAAAAATATAATATAGGGCCTAACAGTTTTAAGTAATTCATTATAAATTGTTTTTTTTTTAACTTTTTGTTCTTTTTAATAAGTTATTTATGTCTGAAAACGAAAAAATGTTCTTAATTCATCGTGAAATAATAAAAGATAACATATTGATATGTCAAAATAAAGAAAAATTCTATAAGGAGATTTTTATAAGTACTTTTTAAGTTACTATAATCATTAATTTTTTGTTCCTGTATGCTAGACTTTAAACACACATGTTACTAATTATATATGGGACTATACAATGTTATAAATTATATATAACATTAATAATTATATTTAATAATGCCCTTGAATAAGAATGTGTAATATTGTTCTTATGAATGGTATGATTTATTATTTTATATAACAGAAGCTTGATGATCTGTAATTATATTTTATTTTATATTATTCAACTACTGTATATAATAATCTTTATTATTCAGTATTGTATTTGCATTGGATACGCTGGAATAAGTAATTTTTATAAATTTTCGAATAGAAATGAAAAAGTTTTACTTTTTAATTTAAGAAAGAGTAGTTTATGTCTGTTTAATACAGTTAATTTAATGGCTTCTGCAAATATGGGATAAGAAAATATTATTAAATTTTTATGAAAAGAAACAAAAGCTTATTTTATGAACATACAAGTATAATGAACATGCAATAAATTTTAAAATATTTTAATAGAGTTTATTCGTTACCTTTTACTATTCGTTATGATAAAATTATTAATATCGACGGATTTTTTACTATAAAAATATTTTTAGTTAAATAATTTCACATTCAAATACATTATAAATAATAAAGCATTATAAATTATTATTGTTTGAATGTGAATTTATTCTTTAATTTTATTAATTTTGGAATTAGGATTGATTTTAAACACAGTTTGTATTTCGCATCGAGTAAATTACGTATAAAATATATACTCAGAAATACAAAAATATATTTTGGAGTAATTCAAAATTAATTATCTCTGGATGATGGATAAAAATATAAATTTTTCAATATATTTTGTAAATAGCACAATTATATTTCACTTCATTCATTTATTGATTTCGCTTTTTAATAGCGCTGTCAATCACCGTGTTTTTATTCTGCGATGTTAATACCGGTATTTTTCTTTTATATTTTTGCCGACGTATCAGTTTATTTCTTGCAACCGTCGATATTTTGTATCTCTTTATCTCAAATAATCTATTTGTGTAATGGATAGCGCCTTTAATTCTATTTATAACTTTTAGCAGGTATTTGCGGGGGAAAAAATGATTCTATTAAAGTCTTTTTTTTTACTTTTAAACAAAAAAGAAATTCCTTAAAGATTATTTAAAATTGTTATATAATTTATTTAATAAACAAATATCGAATACAATTAATATAGATGCGACAGTAGTGATGATATTTAAATATTTTTATTGATATGTTAGGATTTAAGACACAAGCGTCGGAAAAATGAGATTTTATTGTTGACTGTCGACTTCTTTTCTCTGAAGTGATAATAAACCGTAAAATGTATTTTTTTCCCGACATTTCACCTCTAAATTACATAAAATTCGAAATGTATATTCGTTGAAATGTAATAGATGCTAAGGATTTAATATTGACCAATCAGAGGCATCGATGAAAGTTTCTGTGAAATATATTGGAGGACTTATACTAGCGCTCACAGCGCAGAATCACAAAATGTTAATGTTAATAAGGTTCTGAGAGTTAACAAATTAAAATTTTTTATGTTTGAGTTGAATAGGAAATTACAAATTTTTCGGATATTAATACGAAATTTAAAATACTATATTAGTGATTTTTCACTATATCTTGTCTCCAGTTTATGGTATATTATAATTTAATTTTCAATTAGATTATAAATACAACCCATGTTGTTTATCTAATACAAAATTTAAAAGGGTTTATTTATAATGAAATATATTAAACACACTTAATATATTTCGTTTTAATATATATATTTTTCTATATTTTTCTATATAATACGTCTCTGTAATCCAAAAAAAATTTGGTAGACGGACTCACAGCCAAAATATTTCGTTTTAATAATTGAATATGAGCTATACCTTTTTCAAGAGAGACTTATAAATTATAGAATTAAACATTAAAATTTAAATTATACAATAAATTTTCTTTAATTATAAATGCATATTTAGATATCATGGCCTAATTAAAACAAATCCGTAATAGGCTATATCTTTGCGGTGAAATATTAAAACGAAACTATTGATTTCTCGTCAAATTTACATTAAAATTTCAAATATTAAATTGTTTACCATTATTTATTATTGAATGATATTTATTTGTGTTATAGAAATCTTTTTTACATTTTAAAGTTTTACTAATGCAATCCTTTTATCATTGCTTATATATCAGCAGATTTCTGTCTAATCTTCGGCTGAAAATCATTATACTACGAATATTTATAAATTTATTGTACTGTATTCATCGTATTCTTAATGATTTCTTACAATTGCACATCATAATATTTAAAGAATAATTGAAATTATCGCATTAAGTTGTTGTTAAATGTTAAAAGAAATTAATTAAATGTTGACATATGAATAGAGTTGATTCTTTTTGTTTAGAACAAAATTAGATTTTTAAAATTAAATCACATTTTCTAAATCATTTTTTAAAATAATTATTGTATTTAATAATGCGATGTGACTGAAGCAAAATGTCGCTTAAAATTACCTTTCTGTTCCATTATTTTTGATATAACAGTTATATAAAATACAATTATTCCACTATCAAATATATATTTAAACATTTTGTCTGGTAAAACTAATGAATTTAATAATGAAAATAAATCTTAAATATTTTTGCTATTTTTAAAACGAGAGCTAACTAAAAAAAAAAAAAAGTTAAAAATAATAAAAACAGAGATTAATTTAAAACGAATTAATATATTTATAGAAATCCTAAAATCAATATTGGCCTATAAATTTATAACTTGATATAATTCTGCGTAAACCTAATATAAAAATTAACTTCAGGAACAAAAATATTTATTGTACAGTATGTAGGCCTATATGATTAGTGTTATAATACTTATAAAAAATTTTTAAAAACCGCTTTAAAATTTATATTTATATTAACTGAACTTTCAAATAAATTTTAATAAACATTTAGTAAATACAAGTTAGGTCATAAGCTTAAACTTCGTGTAGTAAGTTAGGCATTATAGTCTCAATTATTTATTTTTAAAATGTATTTCAAAAATTTCTAGAATCTACTTGATTATAAAATAATATAAAATCAATTTTCTTTATGAAGTTTAAGTTATTTTTAACATTAAACATGCCAAATGACTTGTTATGTTTGAAACAAATTATTTATTTAAGACGAACGTAAAACTGTCTTTTGTATAAGGTTGTGTGTCCGAATCGTAATTTAACGATTTGTTGAAGTGGGTTAATGGAAATTCACCAGACTGACATGTAACAGTTATGAATGTCAACCGAGATCTGACATGGTCTTGTTGGCTGACAAATGTCGCAGTAAGGTCAAGGCAATAAAGAAAATGACAAGAAACATAACTAGCGACAAACTATCACATCAGGTCGTAAATCAATATGTTGCGCTTAACATATTAATTAAATTTCTTTATATAACGTCGATTACAGTAAGATATTCGTTAGATTATATATACTTAGTTTGAGAGTAAACACGTTTGAATGCGATTATGTTGACTAATGTAGAGATTTTGTTTTAAAATTCATTCTTAAAAAAAGCATAATCCATAGAAATAGCATGAAAATATATTTATATATATTTACAAAAAACATTTTTTTTCTTTTGTAAAATGGCAATTACAAATGAACATTCCTCTGGTATGATTAATCTTATACACTTTCACAAAATATATTCACAATAAATTGCCATGATAAGTACTAAAATCGAATTTATGCTGATATATTTTACTTGTGTAATAAGCGCGTGATGACATTAATAATATATAAGTTAATATTTACTTTGAAATCAATTTCTCATCATTTTAAATGTAAAGTAATAAGCCTAAACAATCACAAATTAATAGAAATCTGAGATCTTTTAAATCAACATCACCTTGAAAGTCACAACCAATTTTGTTAAGCAGCTGTAGAGATTCGATGGGTTTTGCGACTAATATAACAAATCGCAGTTTAAAAGATCTATCAAAGGCATCTACTTGTACTCTTTTTTATCACACAAGTTTTGCACATGACATCACAACACCATTGAAAACGGCATTGGCACGCTTGTTTTTCCGTTCTTCTAAGCGTGTTATATCCTCGTCCACAACATAAAAGTTCACAACCGTCTTCCCCCTTTGATGTCCCATTGCATATTCTTGCTCTTGTCCCTAAAGAACCTGTGTTTAAATTAAATTCACAAAAGTTAGGCGATATTTCTGAATAAACTATATCCTCTCTCTCCGGTGGTTTTATAGTAGCACCTTCTGGTATAAAACTTTTACCGTCGTTTCCAGCCATTACCTTAACAGCACCATCGAATTTTTTCTTAAGATGATTGCCTACGTCACGGAATGTCGGTAGTTTTTTCCAACACGATCTCATAGTACACGATCCGGACATACCGTGACATTTGCAGGCTCTCCTCATATGATTCTTTATACTCTAGCAATGAAAATTATTACATCGTTACGAAAATATTATATGCATTTCCATCGCAAAATATTGCATCATGTTGCCAGATATTCCTAATTTTATATAGGCCTAATTAAGCTTAATATTAATCAACAACTTACCAATCGTCCAGCTTTGTAGTTGTGTCTAAGCATTAGTGTCTTAATGTCACTTCTTTTCCTAAATCTATCGTCCATAAACTCTTTAGACTTTTTGCATCCGTAACGCACATTATCGCTGCAACCTCCCCATTTCCAGTCTTCCTGAGGATATAGAGAAGGCGTCCTATAATCGCAGGAACAATCTTCTAAATGACCTAAACTACAGGCTTGAGTTATTCCGTAAGAAACGCCGGCTGCACTGATTGCATTTAAAAATCCAGTCTCTCTCGTATCTAAACATTAACGATCAATAAATTTCAGTTTTTCATAAATGGTGAATTTTTCTGAAGGAAATTCTTCTCACCTTTAGTTAATACTTTTTTCAAAGAACGTCTCTCAGTACTGCAATTCCATCTTCTACTACGGAACTGATACTGGCATTCTCTTATCCCTATCTGCGCTCCTCTACCTATTGCTCTAATCACATCTGGTTCTTTTTGACAGATATGCACCTGTTTACCTCTGAGTCGTCTTGTTTTACGGCAAATTCTTGATGGATCTACAAGTAGCAGTTGTCGTCCCATGGTCCTAGACGGAAGAAAAAGATCGCTTCAAATTTAGAAAGCTGCATTAATATCTGAATATTGAGATTATATTATGAAACTATAATTCAAAATGACAGGAAACTTCTATCTGCACTCTACCATACACTTTAATGCGTATGTTTTTAATTGTTTACGGATATAAACAAATGATGGCTGTGGTTTCTATCGTTTCTACTGCCAAGACTGCTTCGTCACCTTTCAGCGAAGTCATTCGGAGTTTTATAACTCATCAAACACCTGCTGCCTAACAACTGTTTACATTCAAGTTTAGACTTAAAAGTCACGTGGCTTACTGCTGTTCGATGGAGTCGGTTGATGATATACAGCCGCCGTTCCGCACTTTGTAAATAATCTTCACTTCTGTCCAGAAAGACAGATTGCAACCATCTGTCAAATCAGACATATTTAAATGGATAATTTTTTTTTATTATTTTTCCATTTTCATTTAATTAGACATTATTTTTATATCAAGCAAATTAGCATGACATGCTTATGATATGTGATAAAATTCCCAAAGAAAATTAAGCAAGCAAACAAAATATACGAAATTTTAAATTACAAGTCTTAATCATAAGTTTTAGTTAAAGATTTACAAATATTTTGATTCTATTATGGTATATATATATATATTATATTTTATCTTATTTGTATTATTCTATATATATTATAAGCCCGTGTTAAGCCCATTGTAAACAGAGAGTTAGCAAAGGCGTAACTAAAACAAAAAAGATACAATGTTGTAAAGTATTTTAAGATAAAGACTGATTTGTGACGTTTATAGATAAAATGCACAGCAGGAAAGCAAAACACGACTTCAATTAAATTTCATCCGACGATAAAAGAATATTCGAAATGTTTTATCTCAGATGTATCTTATCCTCTGAATTATTTAGTTAATTATATGATCAGATAAAAGAACAATGTCACCATCTACAAATATAGTTTTGATCATAAAATTCTTTTTTAAATATAGAATACTTAATAATATATTATTGTTTATACAGTAGGATTTCATGTCTTATAATCCATGCCTCACTGACGCCACTGCAACATTTTGTTTATTTATGAAAACAAAATTGTTTCTAATTTAGTTTAGTCTGCAATTTTGTAATGCATAGTAATGTAGACACCATAATATGCAATAGTTATCAACATTTTATGTTTTTAAATAAGATCAATTGAGATATCAATCTACTAAAATTCATAGGAAACCATCAAATAAATTTTGAATGCATTTAAACTTTGCCGAACGTCTGGTACGATCTATGTTTAGTGAGCCGTGGAAAAACATATATACTAAAAAATTAACACGTGTCGTGTACTTGTGCAACACACAGATGTTTTGATTTTTATCTCAATCGAAGGAACGGTTTACAACTTAAATCAGATATGAATAAAATAGACTTACAAATGGCTTCGTACCTGACTCACTCCTCTTTGTCTGCTATAAATCTTGTTGTTATTTCTATTCCTTTATCTTGATTTAATTTTAAAATATTAAATAAAAAAAAATAGACTTAATATATTCAAGCTTATTAAGTTTAATAGCACTAAAACACGTGTTTAAAATTTTAATAAATGAAATGATAAATTGAAAATTGGAATTAAAGCTATCGTATCTGTTGACGAACGATTTTTTAAAAAATAAACTTTAACAAAAAGAACTAAAAATAGTTATTTAAACGGATTATGAAATCATATTAAAATAAATTATCTATATATAGGCCTATTTTTAAATTTGATAATATCATATAGGCTATATTTTAAATGTTTTGTAACTGTTAAAAGCAACATGAAGTATGCTTACATAACAGTTTTTATTATTTCTTCACTTCTGTTTATTCTAAATGAAATAAACTGCATCACTATCGAATGCTTAAAGCATTAAAGTTTCCAGAATTCTTATAATAAAACATCCCTGGAAAGTGAATTTTTTTAATGCAAGATTTAACGGAAAATAAAGATCCGAATTACGTGATTTATCCCTTTTCTAAAAATATATTGAGATTGATAAATTTATAGAATTTTATTAATTTGAATGTGTGGTTATAATCATCTTTTAAGTTAATTTTTCAGTATTTTTTCTTTTTTTATTAGTTTTAATGGAAAGGTTCCAGATGAGGATGAGTGAAGGAAAGTAGTTGTTTAAAGGAGGCAGATGTGAAGTAAGTGCATATAAAAGACGGAAGGATATATTAATAGTTTAAAAATAGTGAATCTCAACGATGACGGGATGGAAAGGAGCAAAATGACAACTATTACTGTTAACGGAAAATTAGAGGTAATATGGTATTTATGACGATGATAAATGGCCAAACGGATGCTATTACTTGCATTGCTTGTCATAAATCATATTACAATCAAATCTCCTTTTTAAAAATATTATAGGCCTACTGAAAAAAACAGCCTTCAACCATTGAAAGTTCATAACTAAATCCATTTTGTTTTAATCGTGTATTGTTTTATTAAATGTACGGAAAAATTAGTCCTACAATGTAGTAAAAATCAGCGATACAAAGTAAAAATTAAATTTTAAATCATTAAAAAACGTATGACAAATACGCTTACAAAACATTTAAAATAACGCTTTTCATCATTATTATTTATAATTTCTTTATTATAAAAGAAGTAGGCCTACAGAATATAGATATTTAATATAGTTTCCTTTCTTAAATTGTCTAGTGTTAAATTCAAGATAGAAACCCACACATCATCTAATCGTGTTTAGTTTAATAATCAGATAATTTACACTGTCCTATTCAATCCATCTCCCACACTAACAATATACTGCAGTGTGTAAACTAGGTCAAAATATAAATTTCGAATGTAGTTGTTCATAACTAAGTAAAGTACGAAATTATTCATACTAAAGAATAAATAGGTCCTTCTTACATTGTATTCAAATCACACATATAGGAAAGTTCTGTTCTATAGTGTGTCATGCACTTAACATTTTCTTTCTTTTTATCCTAAAGGAAAAATAATATTTTAATACACGTTGACTAAGTTCTGAGTTTATTAACTCCTTTGCAAAGTATAGGCCTACACAAAAATTATTAGTTAATGATCTTAATTTGTGGAATTATTCTCACTATTACGCAATGTGCCTGTTTAAAGTTGTAGTGTTACTTTTATTTAATCAATCATTTGCATTGTTTTATATTTGAAAATTTAAAAATATATATATTAAAAGTAGACCGAAACAATTTAAATGAAGGTTAAAATTAATATTAATTTAAATTTGAACTGTTGTCGAGTCATTTTGTGCATAATTTTGGTTTGTTATATTTTAAGTGTGGATATACGTAAATATATCTTTATTAACAAGGATGTGTTTGCATATATTTACGCTTACAATATTTAAAATGAAATCTTTTTTTATCCGTTTCATAAATAACAATTCGAATTTGTTAATTCTTATATTCAATCTACAGGCTATATAACATTTTAGAATAATTTAACGATTAAATAAGTATTTAATTAACGAACAAAGCCATATAATTGTAATTAAAAGCATTATAATATTTAACAATTTTTCCATATATTCTTTCAACATAAAAAAGGAATTTAAAGTAATAAAGTAATTTTAAACAGTTCATTTGCATAAATAAATGAATTTTAAAAATATCGTCTATCTATTATTAATAATAATTTAATAACAGTTATTTAATTTGTACCGCCTTTTTAAGTTCTGTTAATAGGATGAAGTCACGGGTGAAAGAACACTGTAAAATCGTTGGCAAGAAAAAGTTGACAATCTATTTACAGTAAATCAGTCATTTGATACACAACTGATATTAATAATAATTTCAACAATTCCTAAAACATGATTATTTGTACCAGAGACAGATTCCAAGGTATGAAAGTCATAGGCCTACCCCATAAATCGAGGAAGCACAAAAGAACTAAGTGAAAAGAATTAACTGTCACGATAAGATAGATAGAGTAATGGATGTATGAAGTTTATAAGGTCAACCGAAATAGGTACCTTAGTAGAGAAGATAGAGTGATATATGTTAGAGACAGACTAGAAAAGAGGTATCGGTTTACAGCAAGTAGCGTTTAAGGTTACGCAGAGTACAGCTGAAACCTTGGTTTAAAATTCAGGTTAAAACATCGGCATGCTTTATTGATCGTGTTTAAAGGGTACCATCACGTACACTTTGTGTTTAGAAATGATTTGAAGTCAGATCTATTCAGACCGAATACTTAAACATCACTGAACCAAACACTTCAATTAGATCTAAATGTCACTTAAGTATTAAGATTAAAATTTATATCCTTAACACACTTAGCAGAGTCGTTTTTACGATGATCATCCATTTGCTCTTAAGACTAAAATTACATTACGACACGAATTTAAAAGAAATTCAGTCCTATTTCGAGGGGATACGCATGATATTTAAGCTTAAAGTGTTAACACGAAAGTTTCTACAATTCTCTTAGCAATTCACGGGTCCTGATCTGTGAAATTCGATCCTTCAGGTGTCTACGACCTCCAACGGGTCACAGGGCAAAAGCATAGCACCACTAATCGTCAAAATAGCACCTCCAAATTTCGGCCCAGACGGATAAGGGGAATGAAGCCGATCACGTGACACGAAAATGCTGAAACTACGCTCATTGGGACGCCTACATGAATGACGCTTAAATCAGTCATCTGTCGTAAAAGATACAGCAACACCCCCTGGACTTTGTTATAGAGATATCCATTGATATAAGGTTGTTGACTGTTATATTTAAATGGATACATTTTCGATCATTTCTAATAATTATAAAAGTGAGAATTTACTTACCACCAGATCCCACTCACTTGTACTATTGAAAGAATCACCAGTAGTAGTTTTATATCCATACTCTAGCTCACACGAGCATGATGTGGGTATGTGAAAGCGCCGAGCCGAACTGCAGTCTTGTACTAGCTGGGCGGAGCATCAGTAACACTCTGCTACACCATTCTGCGTTTCTTCTCTTTATAAATTCACTGTAAGCCACATGTTAACGTATATAGTAAACTGTCCCGAATAAGCTAACTTGTAGAAACATTCTACCTACGCCATTTTGTTCATCACATTTTCTTATCTACGAAAAACAAAAGGAAGAATATATCAGTGATTTTCAGATTGTACTGTTGTCGAGTTGTTTTTCGTTTTCTGTTAGGATATATAACGCTATCTATATTTTGACCCGCGTTTAACTAGCCTCAAGCTTTCTTTACGGCATTCTTTAGCAATCTTCGATAGTTGTAATGGAACTAAATGTGTCAATTTTGAAAATTTCAAAGTAAAATGCAGTTTTTAATTTGCATTATGCTAAATCATCAATGTTTAATTTGACCTAATTTTAATTTTTAAAAGGATATAAAATTAAATTTAAAACATTTTAACAATGTAAGAATTGCTGAATTTAATTAACTTAAGGTTAAAACGTAGAATCATTAAAGGCGAGAATGAGTTGTGAGAAGCATCTTTTTTTTTTAACGTTAGAAATATTTCTTATGTGAACCATGAGTTTATATTGTTCAACAGTTAATTAACTAGTCCATGAACTTTGCTAAAAACTTAGAAACGACTTTTTTAATCTTTGCGAAAAAATGATAATAATACAAACATTTGTCTTTTGGAATTTTCATAATTATAGTCAAACATAATAGAAAATAAATCATAAGAAAAAATAAACGTAATAAACGAAGTGATCAAAATTATTTAAAACGATTTACAATGAATAATTTTGGGTAATATACAAAACAATATGTCAGACTAGAAAGTTTGGTATTTTTCGCTTCTGGAGTAGCCATAGGCAATATCATACAAAAGAAGTGAAGATATTTCATCTCGAATTTGGAATAGTAGACATTGCATAATAGTAAAGTTCATCATTTTCTCCAACTAATTAGTTAACCAATGAAAAGAGCAGACAGGAAATAGGTGTGGAATCTAATTACAGATCCTCGTCGTAGACACCTGAAGAAGTGTAAGGCAGACCACCCAGCATGGTCAGGCCGTAGGCTTACCTGTTCCGACGTCTATCATGTACTATCGACAAGACGATTGCGCTGCAACACACTAGCATTTATCGTTCCTGCCTTGGCGTACCAAAGACAGTCATATGTCTTCATTTGTGACCGTCAGCTTAAACACGGCTTGTAATTATACCTGTGCATGTGGGAGGCCTTATCGACGTGGGAAGATTTTTCGCTTTTTTTCTATCCTCTTCTCTGGTTGGGTGACTTAATTCCCAATCTTGCTTTCTCCTCCTTTAATTACGAAAGATTCAATTATTTTATAACAGTCATTTCTGATTTGCTATTTTTTTTAATACTATGCTTGATGTTAAGCTTGAATGATACGCTCGCTTAGTTTAATTATAATAAAGCGAAATATTCTTTTCTTCGACTGATAAGTTGTGTTATCGGTATGTGTATATTCTTGAGGTGTTATTATTAAGCAACTCTTAAGATAGCTTAATATATCTTTAACAGGTTCTATATCTTTAAAATTTCAGAGACAATTACTCGGTATGTAAATAAGTTAGTTTGGTAACACCTCCATTTTGAGGCCCTGTTACGTTATTATGATTGTTTAGTATGCAAGAAACGAACTGGGATTATTAACATGTCTAGACAATCCTGGCACAATTTTTTTTCTTTTCAGTTTTTTCCTCTTTCTTTCTATTTATTTATAAGTAATGTCATATGCGTGAAATCAAAGAATTTTAATTGGTCAGAAGGCTTTTATCATTTGAAGGTACGTAATTATATATATGAGGGTGACTTGAGGATTACGCTGTTTTTTCCTTTATAGATATTATAATGTTGATAGTTGATACATTTTTTAAAATTTAACTAAAGTAGTTTATTTTTTCAATTTATTAATCTTTTAATTAGATTCTTAAAAAAGATTATTAAAGAAGAATTGCAAAAATGTAGGAAGTAAGGATGCTTTTTTAATGACTTTTAAACTGATTTTTATAAGAGCATGCAAATCTAATTGCTTGCTTATAAATTATTAAAGACACAAAATATTATAATACGTTTTTATTCATCGCATTAATAATATAATTATGGACATAATTTAAATATTTTTTTATTCATTTGCACGTTCTTAAAATCATATATAAAAGAAGGATAAAATCCATTTAAATAAGTCACAGAAAAATTTCACAACCAGCTATAATAATTGAGAAATTAAATATTGCAAATCAGATTTTTAGTATTACTTTTTCATATATGTAGAAACGATATTAGTTTTAATACTATCTGTTATAGTAATAATTAAGTCTCCATTTCAACATGTTGAGTCTATTTACATTTGAATCATATATACAATATGGACGTATCTTACAGATTTCGATAAAATATACAATAAAATCTATGATTTCAGTTCTAAAATTCTCTTTTAGAGAGAAGTCTTAATTGTTGCAATGGTATTTTTTTTTCTTTGGTATAAAAAGTCGTCTAAAGTTACCAAATGCAAAATTGTTCCTTATGTACATAATCAATAATCACTTATAAACAAATATGAAGTGTTTTTTTGACTTTGCAGATCTTGCATTTGACTTCACAGCACCAGTGAAAAGTGCAATTGCACCTTTCGAACTCTTCTCTAACGTCAGTTTTGTATCCACGTCCACAACACATTAAATCACAGCCGTCTACTCCTATAGAAGTATCGTTGCACTGTCTGTTCTTGGTGCCTATCACTCCTAATTTTAGATTTGGTACACAGAAATCTGGAGATGTTTCGATGTATACTAAATCTTTAACAGATGGTGTCTTATGATTGGGATTATATGGCTTTAAATGAAAACGGTATTTTCGCTTGTAATTTCCCTGGTTATTTACCAGTACACGAGAAGCACCATCGAATCTATCTTTTAAGTTGTTACCAATATCTCTGAAAGTGGGCAAACGTATCCAACACGTTTTCACTGTACAGCTTCCAGACATACCGTGGCATTTGCACTCTCTTCTCATGTCGGTGGAGACGTGCTGTGGAAGAAAAAAATATTATTAATAAACATATATAAGCCTATGGTGAGTTTTAAAAGATGAATTCCGTAATGCTTACAGTCACTTCAGAAGCTACTTTGTATAATAGGGCTATAAATTCTACAAATTTCTTATGTTTAAACGTGCGATCAATAATACATGAGTAACATCTGACGTATCTGCAGGCGATAACTGATATACGACGTATTTGCAGAAAGTTAAATTACGTTTGAATAAATAAAATAATTTCAAAATGTTTTATTGATTGTCTTTTACTCTTTTTTCACGTTTAATGTACGGAATATTAATTAATTCGTTTTTTTTTTTACTCTAGCAAGATACACCTGTTACGAAAGAACTTAAAATCAAACTAAACTAGAAAATTAAGTTTCGTGTTGAAAAAGTGAACATTATCTCGGAGTTGTGTCGTCTGTTTTTATCCTGTACAGTTTGACACGTTGTGGCCTGAGGCACTTACTATCTATTACTGTCCAATGCTCGGTGGCCTGTTTCCTGATGGAAGAGCTGATAATGTACTCTGTAGATTTAATTTGTAAGCCGACCAACTGATGTAGACTACATCACTGACACTCTGATAGCTCTATTTTCTAGTATTAACAACTTACTAACTGTAACCTTAATGTTGGCTTTGCGGTTTGTCGAGCGTGCTGTTTTATTTTAACTAGAGTATTTTTTCTTTTTAAAAACTTTTTTCTATATATTTTTTAAGTATACATAATAATCTAACACGCTCTTTTAGAAAAGAAAATACTTGACCGAATTTGGACTCTTTCTAATTATGATTGTTTTCTGATGTTGAGTTATTGGGTGTTCCCCTCAGAAAGGGACGATGAAGACTTTTAAAAAAACATACTCAAACAGATCACCTAGCCGAATTGATATCCCGCAGAGGAGCTGTCATCCACATTTTCTAGATGAAGCAGCTTATTTCTTATATACTTACTACTCTTCCAGCTTCGTTATTGTGAAGGTTCATGATAAATCGTGGGTCACGACCCCGCTCGGCAGCGTCCACAAACATTCGAGCAAAGTTGTAGCCGAACTCCATGTTGTCACTGCATCCACCCCAGTCCCAGTCAGTACCGCTTGGACCTCTGTTTCTATAGTCGCATGTACAAGTCTCGATTATGCCTTCACTGCATGCTCTAGCTACCGAATGTGCTACCCCCGCACTGGTAAGGGCGTAGACGAATGCCGTTTCACGACAGCCTAATTAAAAGAAAGGAAAAAAAATACGTTAGTTAAAGACAGCACATACTACTATAGTATTATTGAATCTCCAGATTAGTCCGAATGAAGACCACTAGAGGGAGAAGTGTTGCAGTCGGGGGTGAGCAATTCCCGGCTGCTTCGCCCTTGAACCACACAAGATGACAAATGTGCCATGACCTAAGCCTTACATTATTAACGGAGACGAAGGTTTTAACACGACGAGTCCGGCATTCTGTAACAATCGTGACCCATACCTCGGTATGCGGACTTTCTGCGCATGTCTGCCGAACACCACGGGGGTAAGATGGATACCGTCAACGAATGCGGTAACATCAAACCAGAAGAAGCTCTGTTTCGATAAAGTGTGATAAATACGACCACATCAATACTCTAACTGTTATTTATATCTTTACGTCTTCATCTGTTATTATTTAGAAACGAATTTAACCTCTTGAGAGGGACGACAACCTCACTCGGTGTTTGAGGAACTATAACTAGATTTACAGTTAAAAATATACTCTAATTATGTTAATCACAGAATGCTGCTTTTACCCAAACATCATTATTTTTAAAAGCATTTTTAATTGAATATAATTTTACAAGACTCGACAGGGAACATTCATTAAACTAGTGAGTTTCTAGCTATCACTTTGAATTAAAATAAAAATCACTTTATGGATTTTAAAATGCGTACATCCAATTAAAAATTATTATTATTAGGCTGGGACTACCTGTGCAACCGCATGAGTCACAATTGAATCCACCAATCATCTTCTGATAATATAATTAGCATTGTACGTATATCATTTGAGGTGGGTGCAGTCTCCCACCGACAATAATTTACGAGATGGCTGCCTCTTTCTTCTAGACGTTCACGTGATCAAAGGGTATCGTGTAACCCACCATTGCTTTTCATTACCATAATTCGTGCCATTAACAGATCTTCAAGCATTCATTTATGATGTTATTTGTTGAACACCCACATAGCATCATATTTTGTACTTGTCTTCACCACTCGGCAGCTGAAGCCACATATAGAGTAATCAATGCGATACCTGGGTAGCACACTGATTTTCTCATGGTATGCTAATAACATTCTTTTCATTGGTTTGTCATACTCAGTGTGAGGTGAATAATTTAACTTTATACGTTAAATAACTCCTGCTTTATTAAGCATTAATTGGAAAAAATTTTTTACGATTTTTCGTCTTCGTCCAAGCTTGGACCTAGACGAAAAGATTTTCTTCTTAAATTAATAACAACGTATATTGAATTATACCAAATTTTGAATCATTTTCAAGTCGTAAAATCGAATCATTTATCTGAAAACTCGATAAACCTGTATGAAATTCATTTTAAATTAAATAAAACCTTATTACTTATTATATTAACCTATAAAATTTCAAATCGATTGATTAATTCATTAATAAATTATCTTTATTTGTTTATCAGTATGTTATCTGCTAACTTTAAAAATAAATTATTTACTATTTAAGTAATAAGAAACTACTAAAAGATATTAAAATAAATAAGAAATTTTAACGAATTTAATAAAAACACCAAATTAATTCACACCGATTAGACAATAAATAATATCGTGGAGCTTTTGAATTTTAGTAATAATTTTAAGAATTCAGGAAAATAAAAAGAGAATACGAGCAATTAAAATCAAATAAACGATCATATAAGCTAATTTGAAAGATTAACATCATGATATTATTTATATTATGTATTAAATTATATAAAACAGACTAAAATAAATATATGAGCTGAAACGTTTCGAAACGTGGAAATTCGTGTAATTTATTATTATATCTTAAATACTTCAATGTTTAAGTCTACATACAATATATATATTAAGAAATCGGATGTAATATTAATAGAATTTAGAATATTTTACTCTGTTAACAATTGATTTCGTAAATGTATTATTCAACTATATGTTATATTATATATATAAAATAATGGTATAAATTATAAAAAATAAACTGAGATCACTTTATATTATATAGGCCTACAGTAATAATAAATTTTATATTAACAAGATGATAAAGGTTAAGGAAAAAAGCATAAATTATTATTATTATTCAATCAAATATTTAGGTTTAAGTTTTAATTAACGTTTTATTTTTTAGACAATTTATAAATGATTAAATAAGTTAAAACTTTTACTTTTAATTTAAAATTGATTTAAGATCTAGAACGAAGCGGTGTGAATATTTTCAGAGGTAATCTCGAAATTCATGACAATAAATTATATATTATACTAGTTTTTAGAGTATTTACCTCAGGATTTTTTAAATTGATTATTGGAATATTCCTAGTTTTTTTTTTGTGTAGTAGTTGAGTTAATTTATTATAATGTTATAGGATGCACAGATTCGATTTTCAATCATGATGCGACCACCTGTTCGACAGCACACACGCCTCTTTAACTGCATATAACTTGCAGTTAATAAAAAATAAATAGAAAAAAACTTTAGATTATCTTTATGTAAATTTATTTTTATAGATAGAAGAGCATAGGCTAACGTTATAAAAGTTTTATCAGTCCGACAAAAACTATAACATGCTTAGCCTAGGTTCAAATCCGTAGCATACATGAACTATTAGTTTATCATACAATGGACTATAAAGTTTTATTACTGCAAAGTTTGTAATGTTACATTATGTAAAATTAAATAGTTAAGTTAAAATAGGCCTATAGGCATTACGTTTAAGAATGCCAATGTAATTAAAAAATTGTTTTTTTGAGACGAGAATCGCGTACACGATTTCAGATAAGTTGTACGAAGACTCGCCTTTTTTATAGGCCTTAGTGAACATTAATAGGGCCTGTACGGGAAGAATTTAATATATTAAACAGAGATTATTACGTATTTATAGGGTATCTGTCAAACTGATTTTTCACTTGATAGTTTGCCATCGTAAGACTTCTACGAAAATAATATAATTAAAGAAATGTACGGCATTCTTCTGCCATTCTTAGATCTTTATTAAATTCGCAGATTTGTAAAATCTTATTTAGTTTTCATGCTACGATTATTAAAATTAAGCTTAAACATTGGATAATTAAGACTTAAATCTTGCAAATCTGCTAATAGCTTTTCTATATTAATAAACATTTGCTTCATTTCGGAAATGTGTTTGAAGGTAAGTTATTCAGTTATATCATTTTTAACTTAAAATAGTACAATATATTAAATTTATGTCGCTCGTAAAATGGATAAATGGGAGCAAAATTAATTTCTCTCACTCGTAATCTTAAAAATTCATTAAAATATGAAAATTACATCGTTATTTTTTGCATTAATTTCTCTACTAATTTCTATTTTATTTTTTAAATTTAGTTAAATTTATGAATAATTTCTTTATTAATGGACACAAATATTAAAACAATTAATTTTACTTTATAGAAATTAATAATAGTGACATATATAAACAAGGCCGTCGAGAGGAGGAAGCTGAGGATTTTTCCTCGGACCCGAAGAGAACTTAGGGATCCGCAGTGGTTCCTACCCCTATAAATTAATGTAATTTTTAGTAAAATAAAATAAAATCTTTAAGGTTGTTTTTTTAATAAAATAAACACATTTTACGTATTTCATTTGCTCAAAAAAGAAATAAAGAAAAGGCTAAAGAGCTCACTAAGAGGAAAAAGGGAGCTCTCTCTACCGCCTGGCACTATACAAGATCTCAACGGCCCTGTAAAAAACAAATTCTCAAAAGTTTTAAAAATATCAATTAATAATCTTTCGATAAATTAAAACCATTTCTATTTAACAAAAAAGAATATGGTTCAAATTACTGTATTTATCAATTCATTATTGTTGAACATGTTGTATCGAAGTTTTAGATATATAAATCATTAAATATTGAATATTTTTTATAATTATATTATTGTTACTAAATAGAATAAATAAGCCATTAGTAATTCTTGTGGATTAGAAAGTTGTTACACTGTAACAACTTGCCCAGAACAAAATACCAACCTGTCCTACAATAGTTTTTCTAATTCTAAAATTAAATCTAGCTTCACGTCTTTGTTATTTTTATTTTTTTTATTAATATTCTTATCCTTTAAATATATCTGTTCTACATATCAGCAGTTTTAATACCACTATAATCATATACTTTTTTAGCTCAGTGAAGATCCACAAATACGACAAACTTGAAAATTATTTTTTTCTATGTTAATGCGGATGCCAATATTTGGAATTTTGCATACATTTTTTTAATATAATTGCCAATTTTTGTTGATTTTTAATAGCCGAATATTACAGATTATCTCTGTAACAATCAACTTCCTTTCTCCTAAACAGTAGATTTTTGTAGCAGTATTTTAAAGGGACGTTTCATGTTTGATCACAGCATCCATTTTAAGGATAGTTCGGAAATTGCTGCAAACGAACGATTCCAAAATAAAATACAGTGCTTGTATATCATTTTTAAATGGCATAACAGATTCCATAACCTGTTAAAAAATAGGATCTATTTAGAAAAGAATAGTTAATTTGATTTTTATCATTGTATTGTCACAATCTATTAGATGCAGAGCATGATGATAAAGATGACACCAACAAGATTTCCTCTTCAGATATAGGACTAGTGGAGAGTTTAGGAACCGGCGTTAAACCAGGATCAGTCAAGGCCAGTTAGTTCTCGATTGAAACTAATCGGACTAAGTGACAGTGGAGAGATCTCCTGTCAGTGATTGTCTGTTGATAGACCTTTAGTACGTTGACACCGGAGATAGTTAGCCTTGGCAAAGTGTTTGTTATTACATGAGTGACCAGTGACAGTCTTCGCCCCGAGCACTAAAGTGGATATGTCACTGCATCCAGACACTTTATTGTCTACATCTCAGGTGTTCTACCGCAGGATATACGCTTAGTCCGTGATGCTATTTTCCGATATCATTCTGTCACAGACAAGCTTTTGGCTATTTCATCCCTTTAATCTTCATCAAGGTCTCGTAGGGATAATTGGTTAGGAGATGGATCCTCTCACTCTTTTTTAAATTTCTAATAATGAAAATTCGTTTGTCGCGGGTCTTCGTATCCGCCTAAATCCTGGGTGCTTAAAAAAAACAGAAAAAATAATCAAGCGTGGTCTATATTTTATCTGCGAAACCGAAGATAACGTCCAAGCATCTTTGTATAGTTTATCATTAAAACCAATCTGAAATATCTATAGGTGTTATTAAAACAAGTAGAGCAACCGAGAAGTGTAACACCCCAAAAAAGTAACGGATTCTCCGATGTTAGGTGGTAAATAAAAAAAAAGAAATTCCATTAGGGTAGACCTACTATTAAGACAGTTATTACTCACCTCTCTGGACTATTTTCCCAAAGACTGATTTTCCCAACATGTGGTCTGTTGTGGGACAATTCCATCTGCGATCACGAAATTGCTGTTTGCATTCGGCTATAGCCAGTTTCATACCTTTGGCTATTGCTAGTAGTGAACCGGGATTGGTGTGTAGTAATCGTCTCTGTTTTCTCCTCAGGGGTACGTTGATTGTAGGATAATCATTGGTTCGGATAGAGTTGGAATAATGGTTACCCACTACCAAGTTGGTAGGCTGTCCTGCGTGCACAATGTTCCTACATAAAATATACAGCTATTATTTTCAACAGATAAAATCACTAATATTACACTGGCTACCGGTAGTCTGGATTGTGTCAAAAACAGAAATTATCTCGACACCTTTCAATAATATTTCATTATTAATTTACAAAAGTAATTTAATTTATCTTGTCTGCTTCAGATTTCTTAAAAATTGATTAAATGATTAAATATTTTTTTTTTTTGTTTTTAAAGATTTTAAATATATTTAAGATTTATTAAAAATAATAAAAATTATACACGAGAATTTCTTTTATCTTTAATAATAAATATTTAAAAATCTCACAATTAATAATTACTATTTTAAAAATAAAATTAAAATTTCATGGATGATATTTATCAGTTTAAATAATGTAGATAACAGGCCTAAACAATATTCTTATTCAATTGAATTTGGTAGTGGCAATCGGTAAATAACGCCTATTTAGATTAAGATTTAAAGCAATTACGTGCAAATGATATAAACAATAGTATTTGAACTTTCGTAAATTTTTTAAACTTTTGATTAAAGTTAAAGTATATAATAAGACAATAAAACAGTAATAAACATAATAGGGTAAAAGTAGTAGTAATAATAGGGGTTTTATTGCCATAACGCCCACACCATCCTCCGAGCAAAATCAGGGAATTTTTCTAATTATATATACAAAAGTTTCTCATTTAAGTACTGACTAATATTTATTAATTAAGGCCTATTTATTTCGTTGATAGCTACCGTCAGCGGTAAATTTATTACGAACAAGATATCTGGAGTAAATTTTACCAGAAAATCTACTCACTTATAAGCATGTGTTGAATACTAAACAATAGAAAACAATTAGGTCGAGCAAAACTTTATTATAGTTCCATAAATATGAGTTTTATAGTCGTTATTCCATCTAGTTGTTTCTCAAGGTGACTGCCACATGCTAACACCAAATCTTTGTCTATACTTTTTATCAATTTTCCTGTTATATCTAGCTTTAAAAAGTACTACACCGTGCAGATTTATAGAAAATCCTTTCGGAAAAAATGTTCATAGCTTTTACACAATTTTCTTTTGCGCTAATTATTATTTTTTTACTTATTAATCGAGTACGATTACGAAGAAAAGGTAGATTTAAGCGTATATTACAACTGTCATTCATTAACACACGTTCAAAATTCCTGAAATGAACATAATTAAATATATCCTATGTTGATCACGGATCGGTTAGTATATATTTATCTAATTGAAAATCTCTGATAATAAGCAAATAGATCAATCAAACATAAAAAAATTCCAAAAGAAAATCAATTCTGATTGCACTTATAAATAAATAAATTGATTATTTTATATAATTTTAAAGGATAAAATCATAATAATGCAGTATATAATTATTAATATCTTTCAGAGTATTTGAGTTGATTAACAGGTTGTTACTTAATGAAAAAAATTATCGGAAAATGAATCAATAGTAAAAATGTTTTTTAATGAATTAAACGTATAATAATATAAAGATAAATTTATAAAACAAATTTCATCAGTTTGATTTATATATATAGTGAAAGAGACAGATGTAGTTTGGTAAATGAATTTTGATTGATAAAATTCCAATGAATATCGGCATTGTGGAGTTTTTAAAGATCGAATCATTGATTAATATCTGGTTATTTCTAATCATTTTTTCGACATTCGCATAATATAAGTTAATAAAATGACCTGTTCCAATTTTATTCATTCGTGAATTATGCGAAAGAGAGAAAAACATAGAAAGCATTACGAAACGATATATATCACTACAATTTAATATTTAGAACAGTTATATTTATCCTTTTTTTATTATTTTTTAAAATAAAACATTTGATACCGTCTATTTTCTCTCATTGTATGTTCGAACTAATGCTACGTGTCCAGATTATAAACGATGGCATTATCCTTCTTCCATGGGCATAGTTATGTAGAAAATTATCAGGTCTACAGGACAATACGTTTTTTCCTGGTTAGGTATTTGTAAGTAGACGAAAATATGCCTGTTATATATTTAATTCATTAGGCGAGGTTATGTCAAGATATTATTTTCAACCACTCCAGTTACAATAAATGGAAGTAAATCGATACTCGGGAAGTACGTTTATAAATGAGTATTGGCAATGGAGTGTGATTGTTATAAAGAACATGAGTGCACTTATATCTCCTTAATAATCTGCTGCTATAGTCTGTATACTGGTGGTTCCGTTTCTGTGCATTACTTAAACCCAGCAGCTGATAAAACTCGTAGCAGTTTAGATGCGTTAAATGTTTTCCTGCTGTAAAAGTTGCTAGATAGGGAAGTCGGCCAAAACTGTCCAGGCCACCGTTTTCGATAACATAATGCCGTTTTAGAAGTTATGGCATCTCCAATGGACAAAACAGGCCCGTTTCGCTATAAAAAAATCAGCGATTGGCAACGAGCTGTTAACTGCAGTTTAGGGAAGCGGCGCCGTTCAGGAAGCAATATCGGTGGGATACGTAAATAATAATAAAAAATACTTACCACCACTTGGAACCTCTCCCTCTACCTTTTGATCTCCTCTGTAGGGATGATTCTGTCGCGAGAATGATGATGAAGAGCACGGCTACACACCGCCTCATTGCTAGAGTCTACGACCACGTGTGCCGGCCTATACATACCTCCGTCACGTGACACAACCGTCTCCATGGCAGCACGTGCACACTCCGCCCCTTCTCCTAGTGACGTCACATAGTGCCAAGTAAAGTACGTGTAGCGGGAAGTCAAATTAAATCTCCAAAATGACACCGGATGAAGAAGTTAGGTGGCACGTCACTAGCAAATGGACACCCAGGAACTGATGAAAATTATAGGATTGTTGAGCTATTCCCTCCTACCTGGGCGGTCTAGCCGTGGGAATTTTTCTCACTTTCGATCTTTTTTTTAGTGCTCACCAGTGGGTGGATATGAGTTCCCCGAAAAGTAAGTAGGGGTTTATAATAAGCAACTACTCCCATAAATCTCCGCTTGTCACTCACCTGTTGAATGTTACCTATCGTGGCGCAGGTAAGCATATGGGATGAGCAGTTTTTCATCTTATTCTTATGAGAATAATCAACATTAATTGAGGGTTGCAGAAGGTACAAGCCCGACTCCTCTCGATCGGGAAAGACACGTCATTATGAGCTATGATGTATCATTACGCTACCATTAAAGTACCATTAACAGGGGAGGCGACATCCACTCAGATGGATATAAATGAAGTTGAAAAGTGAGGATATACACGCCTACTTTTTTCTATATATCGCGTGCGATTTGTCTTATCTGATTTTAGACTCGAAAATTAATTCGCTCGAGCATTTAATAAAAGCAATCTACCGTTCGACTTGTAAACGTCCTTCATAACATATTAATACGAAGGGAAAAAACAGATAATTGTTTATCATTCCACCTACGATCACGGAAGTCAGTGAGAAAGCGGTTAATCGGATCACGATCCAATAATTTAAACAATGAATAACGTTTGCATTTTATGCAATTTTAAACGATTTTTTTCACACTTCGGGCAGGTTTTTAAAACATCAACACTGGACAAAACACTTTGATTAATTGCTAAATCTTTTTATTGTCCAGAGAATATCAATTCTAACCTAATTAATTTGTCTACATGTTTACTGGCGGTGTATAGCGCACGATTTCCAAACAGAAACAATTCATTTCTTTTATTTTTTTCCTGTTTACGTTAGAGTTATTAAAATTACAGTTTAAAAATACTTTTTTTCTAAGCCGAAAACACGCGTAAAACAAGAGGACAAGTAAATAAATTAAAGAGTTCGAGAAAGAGTTCGTGTTACACGTTATGTTTAAACAGAGAGGGAGAGTTTGATCGTATGGTGTTGACTATTTTTGGGTTAATTGCCAAAAAGAAAAGATCATTACTACGCAACTTTTTGTTAATGGGATAGAACCAAAAATGATCACACGCACAGTTGGTCAAGGTCGAACACATTCGTCAATGATCGGATTGTCTGGACGATGTCGCTCGATCTGTTTGACTGTCATCCTTGTTCCTTCAGACAAGGAAGCGCTTGTTGAAAACTATTGATTAAGTGCTTTCTTACTACATTGTTCCTCGTCCGTTTAAATAAATGTTTGATGGTTTTATTGTCCGGAAGAGTTCATTATAAACTAGTTTTAATTACCGTTTATTATGGGAGTATTGAAACACTGTTTATGAGAATTCTAAAACAAAATGGAATAAGTTCTATAACTGTTTATTAAGTTAAAATAATATATAAAATACTATTGATTCTTACAATTAAAGAAAATAAGAAGTTCACCCCCAAATATTAAAACAATTAATTTTACTTTATAGAAATTTGACTTTCAAATGTATATTTGCTTTCTTTTCGAACTTGACCCGTCTCGTAATCATACCCTTAAAGTATAGATTAACGTAACTATTAGATTATATATACTTAAATGCAATTACATTAAGCAACATTTTCTTACGTCCTCTATATTGAATATGCTATACGATCGAAAAATCTTACCTCGGGTTCATCCACATATGCAACATGAATTACAAAACTCCACTAATGACATTGTCCATTGGGCGGATCTATGGTATAGGCCACCCAAGTTTAATCGTGTTCTGTGCGAACTTGACCCTACTGTATGCCCCGAGGGGTTTTTGTTAAACACGTGACGCGGTCAGTCCGACACATTGTCCTTGGTCACTCACCTAAACTCGCACATTCAAAACACACACACACACACACACACACACACACACTGCCTCAGTGTGGTTAATAATGGACACAGTTAATTACGAGATTAATGAAATTTTTTTTTGCACACGTAGAATTTTAAGATAGTTTATTTTTTGTATGATAATATTCCATAAAAAATACTGGAACGAAGACATCTGTGTGTACTTAACAGGCTTACGTATCAATCAATTAATTTACGAATTTAAGAATAAAATTCTGGATAATTGATAAGATTTATTTTTATTTATTTGATAAATAATTTATTAATTTGATGTATCTTATGTTTACTCCGTTTATGTATTCCGAATACGTGATGTGAGATTGGATACATAAATTGTCTCAACCCCTCAGTAACGTGCTATCCTGCATGACCCGTGAACTATCCACTATTGCCACAAATGTGGCGTCGACTGCAGAGAATTTAAGTTAATATACAACTGCAATAAATATATAAAATTTTTAAGATTCTAGAGTTTAATTGTTTAAAAGATGATAAATATTTATTAAAATTCCTATAATAAATGTCAAAAACTATAATTAACAATACTGGAAGTTTATTCGTTAATAGAAACAATTAGAAAGATAATGTACCTTTGAAATTTACTGAGAATAATATGATTCATCTGTTAATTATGAAAATCTGATCTTCAAGAGTCTGTTCTGCTCATTGTCCTTAGGGAATAATAAGACAATTACGAAGAAAATATATAGTCTACTCGTAGATATCCGTTTACCGAAAAGCTTAAGTCTACTGATTGTAAGGATCGTATGTTCAATATTAATTTCAACAAGTAACTTATGGCTAACTAGTTTATTTTCGAAAGTCAATGTTATGAATGACCTTTGATCTAAGTTATCTTAATTGTTATCTGAAACCGTTTAAATATATACTGTGTAGGATTGTATGTCTAAACTGTTTATAAAGTACACACGCTAATTTTTATACGAGTTTTTATAGCCGATTTCCTCTGTATTTTTTAGCTTATTAATTTAATATTCGTGCTTATTTCGAATAAGTTTGATGACTTATTTACCGTATTATGGCGTTTTACAATATAAAATTAATAAAAAGAGCATTATGTATGGCCTATATAAGTCTATATATATTATTTTTAATTTGTGTAGTTAATTGATTTAAAGGTTTTCAATGTGTTTAATGAATTGATAACGAAAGATTTTCGTTATCAATTTCCTCATACGAGTATATAGTAACTGAAAATTAATACAGTTAAATACGCATTTTATTAACAAAATGATTTTAATATAAATCGCCCATTCTCGGGCCTATTAAAGTCATAGGTATAATCCTAGAATGGGCTACACCTATGATTTTAAAGGTACGAAAATTGAGAATTCTTACGATCAAAATTGTAATTGAAAAACAACCGATTTGATTTTAATCTATTGTTTTATTGTAATATAACTTTAAACTTCCAAACAATCTATTATTATCTACATTGTATTCGCAGAAAACAATTAAATATTCACTCATAAAAAATTCTAAGAATTATCTAATTTTATTTTGAAATCTCGGGGAAAAAACGATCTCAATTAGGCGTTTTCTCGCCAACACCTCGAATTTCACTGTCAACAACAGGCCCCAGGGGATGCCACACACGGTGACTTGACGAGAACGATAGGAGGCCTAATGATACTCCGGTTGTAACCATTTACTTATTTGCATGCACGAATTAATAATAGATTAAATGATAACAGAATATAAGCGGATAATAGATATATTTTATGCGTAGATTTCTATTGCAACGGGTTGGTCGGGACTGGCAATTATTTACGTATTTCCATGGCCGATTTCACGAAAATGCTAAAAGAATTTCGGTGTAAATAATTAGTATTTAAGCAGATACGTGTTCTTAAATACAACTCTGCGTTTCACTTGCGAGTATAAAGCATGTTCTTGCTCTGTTTTTATACACTTTGTAGTCTGACAGCACATTAATTTTATAATAGAAGAGATTGAATTAAAAGATAATAGACTAGATTACATTATGGATGTGTAGAGAACGACACTCAAAAATACAGTTTCGAAAGAGAAAAATGCCGGCATACAAATTTCGGTCGGGGTCACGTTATTAATAACTCGAATTTATTTTAAAATTCTTGACTTAAATTTGGATTAGGTAAGCGAAGGGAGGGAGGGAAAAAAAATAATCCGAAATCCATTGTGTGTTTAAGGACAAGTTTTATGACGAATTGAGACACGTTGACATGTAGCCTAAGCTCGGTTGTTTTAAGCTTAGCGTGGGAACCAAAGTAGTATCGTGACGTTATCAGGTCTACTGTAGACAATACCAGAGTAACGTTGCTAGAAAATGCGACATGGCTTCCAGTCATTCGACGTCAGATTGCTATCTTCGTATTCAACTAACTCGGTGTCAAAGGTTCGCGTACGATTGTGAAGCTGACGACGGGGAATGCATTGATACCGACGATTATACTCTACCAGATTCCTATCCCTCCATTTTTTTCCAGCTTTTCCTCCTCCTTTCTACCCGCACGGGATCGTTATTGGATTTTTTGCCGATGCAGTTGATACACTAGGAATGTTTTCCATATCGATATTACGAAACTGCTTTTTCCTTATAAGATACTTCGTTTAATAATGCACGGCGTATTCTGTTTTGCTGTATTAGGTAAGCTTCTTCTTCCCATTTTTTTTCTTCTTTTCTTAGTTTAATAGATTATAGACGTAAATATCCTGTCGTATATCAGTTTGGGTTAAAAATATCCCAGCTATTCAACTATACGTTCTTGGCTGCTTTTGATTCTTCCTTATTAATATGTTTGATTGGTATCTTTGATGTACTGCTGGAATCTATTGAAGACACTTACGCGATAAATACCTAACTGAATGAAGATTAATAAAGTAGAAATTGTTCTGTAAGGGCAAAC